GTGGCTGGCGCCTTAGCCACTTGAGCCACAGGCGCCGAGCCTTAATCTGTTCTTTCAATAGCTTATATAGAATAGTAGTATATTTCTAGTGATAGTAAATGTATTTCTTACTATGTGTCATGATAAAAAATGTTTGATAAATACTGCTCAAGAGAGTAGGGCAGAGCCTTATGGGATTAGAATGAAAATCTTTTGGTATTCTTTGCCTTTAATATTTCCACCTATTGATCTTATCACAGGACATCAGTCCTTCAAACCTGATATGATATCCCAATTGGAGAGAGAGGAAAAGCTTTGGATGAAGGAGATCCAAACCCAAATGGGTAGATATTCAGGTGAGAACTGTGTAGCAGGAGTCATTGTAGGTAACAGTCCTGCCTCTACTCTGGATAGTCTCTTCTCTACCCAGTAACCAGAGAGACCTTTTGAAAACATCTGTCAAATCATGTCACTTGTCTACTTCAGACCTTCTACTGGTTTCCCATTTCATTCAGAGTAAAATCCAATGTATTTAGGGGCTTGTAAGGCCATCTAAAGTTTGCCCATTCATCTTGCTTTCCGAATCTCTATTTTTCTCCAGTCATTTCCTACTTCCTAGTGTCTGCCAACCTCACTTTTTCCTCAGATCTGACAATTACTGTGCATCAGAGTCTTTTTACTTTCTTTTCTCTGGTTGGAATGATGTTATCCCATAAACCTCCAAGCTCTTTATTTCCTTCACGTCTTTGCTCAGAAGTCATTTCATGAGAGGCCTTCCCTGACCAATCTGTTAAAATACCATATTCCCTTCACTCTCCATGTCTTTAACTTGCTTTAATTTGTGTCTAAGGACTATATACAGCAGCCTTATCAGCAAATATATATTTATATATATATATATATTCATTTTTTTAGTGACAGAGTCTCAATTTATCACCTTTAGTAGAGTGCTGTGGTGTCACAGCCCACAGCAACCTCCAGCTCCTGGGCTTAAGCAATTCTCTTGCCTCAGCCTCCCAAGTAGCTGGGACTACAGGCACCCACCAGAACGCCCAGCTATTTTTTTGTTGCAGTTTGTCCAGGGCCAGGTTCCAACCTGCCACCCTTGATATATGGGGCCAGCACCCTACGCACTGAGCAACAGGCACCACCCTATATTTATTTTTAACTGTAAAATATACATAAT